CCATCTAGTGTGGCAGAAACTAGACGTCCAAATTAACATGGCCAACGGTATCTCACCCATTGTGGTGGTCCTGAAGAAGTGGATACCACTTCTGGAGAACGTACTAGGTCTGCTCATGTGTGCGCACTTGTGCAGCTCATTGGAAATTTAAGAAAAATATATAAATAACTGGAGAAAAAAAATTAAAAAAAAATTTATATATATGTATATATATATATATATAAATTTGTTTTAATGATGTTACTCTAGAAATCTCATGAAATTTGGTTTTTATCAACTGGGCAGACATGCCTATATAAATACTTCGAATAAAGAAGGAAACAAACTAAAAATAAAAATAAACTAGAATACAATTTACTGTCACACTTTTCAACCTACACACCTAAACAAAGTGACATTTGGATGACATTTGATAACAAATGTGATGATATTAACACCCTCATAACAATGTAAATTCTCCTCCCCCTTCCAAAGCAATATTCCGTTGTTTGTTTTGGGCATAATATTTCGCACATTTCTAATTAAGCACGTCACGGATACTATTTAACTGTGACATTAATTTTCTCTTTCATTAAATATTTGGATTAAAATTACCATTAGTTACATTTATTAATGCAATTACAAAACAGTTTTAAGAAATCGTTTCTTTTGATACGAAACGTTATTTTATCATTTTTTCTAGTAATTGTTCCATAAATTCGTTCGATGTTTCTAGTAATGGTGCCTGAAGCACTTTTTTGAAACTTATTTGAATAACTAGCGTTATTTTGAATTTACCAAATGTCGTGTACACAACATACAAAATTATCACAACTCTTTTAGAAATTATTTGTATAAAAGTGTAATTTCGTACTTTTAGTATATCTAATTTTATAGTATAAAATATGACTTCAACAAAATTAATGCATTAAAATTTTTTAAGTTTATTTTGCGTAAAAAAGGCTTATTCCTTTAGTTGCCTTTAGTACTTTCGGCTTTTAGGAAGAAAAAAATACACTTTTGGATTTTTTTTGCCTTTTTAAGAAAATATTTTTTTTTTTGAAAATTAAAAATAATTGCAGTTTTTTCATTATATACAAAAATTGATGCTCCCAATACTTGATCAAGGAGTTCCCTTGTCTAGAGTTCTTTTGTCCTCTAGGATTAGGTTCAAAATTACAATGCTACGGAGTTGAACATTATTAGTCGTATACTCAAAATTGGGTTGGATGTTCAACGATAGCTATAAAATATAAAAACAAAATATATAAACATTTTAACCCTGTGATTGTTAGTCGCACTCTAACACTTTTACGTTCCTGAATAAATACTAGTTTAGTTCAATGCGAAAGTAGTGTATAACAGTGAAAATTCCATACAATTATTCCCAGAGTTGTAACATTCTATCGGGGGGAGGGGACAATGAAAGAAAAAGCACTAAATAGAAAAAGATTTTGAAAAAAAAGCATACTCAGTTAGTAATTATATGAATTTAAGGACCGATTTTATTTGGGCCAGAATATAATTTCATGAAATATTTCTTCGAGTGAAATTTGTTTTCTTTTTAGTTATTATAAAATTATTATTTTAAAGTTTACGAAAAGGTACTTTCCCCCACTTCATACTATTTAACAAATTAATACGGATTCATAAGCAATAAATAAGAAGTCTTATAATTAATAAGGATTAAAAAATTAATAAAGATTCTAATAAGGAATAACAAATATATAAGGATTATAAGATTATAACAAATAAATAAGGATTATAACAATGAGTAACAAATTAATAAGGACTCTAATAAAGAATAACAAATTAATAAGGAATCTAATACGGAATAACAAATAAAAAAAATTCTTAGGATTAATTTAAAGTTTACGAAAAGGAATTTTCCCCACTTCATATTATTTATCAAATAAATACGGATTCTTAAGCAGTTCTAAAATTGTTCTAAATTTCACTGATTACTCTTATTGTATTGTGATATAATAACATACAAATAATGATTTTACTATTAGTTATTTTTTAAAAAAATTGCACTAAATTGAAATACTTTATTATGCTAGTAAATGTTTGATTCATGAAAGGATTAACTTCTTGAGAGACAACTGTTAAATTATAAATTTTTTAATACAATTATAATATGTTATGTAATTGCATTNTATTTGAATATATTGCGTTATTTTGAATTTACCAAATGTCGCGTACACAATATGCAAAAAGTATTACAACTCTTTTATAAATCATTTGTATAAAAGTGTAATTTCGTACTTTTAGTGTATCTAAATATATTGTATAAAATGTGACTTCAATAAAACTAATACATTAAGTTTTTTTTAGTTTATTTTGAATAAAAAGGTTTATTCCTTTAGTTGTCTTTAGTACTTTGGGCTTTTAGGAAGAAAAAAAATAAACTTTTGGATTTTTTTGCCTCTTTAAGGAAATATTTTAAAATCAGTATTATTTTTTTTTAAATTTGCGGTTTTTTATTATATACAAGAATTGACGCTTCCAATACTTGATCAAGGAGTTCCTTTTCTTGGGTTCTCTTGTCCTCTAGGATTAGGTTCAGAATTACAATGCTACGGAGTTGAACATTGGTAGTCGTATACTCAAAATTGGGTTGGATGTGCAACGATAGCTATGAAATATAAAAACAAAATGCATAAAGCATTTTAACCCTGTGATTGTTAGTCCCAACTCTAATACTTTTACGTTCCTGAATAAAAACTAGTTTAGTTTCCTTATGTTGTTCAATGCGAACGTAGTGTATAACAGTGAAAATTCCATACAATTATTCCCAGTGTTGTATTAGGGGGAGGGAACAATGAAGGAAAAAGCACTAGATAAAAAAAAGACACTGAAAAAAAAGCATACTCTGTTAGTAATTATATGAATTTAAGGACCGATTCTATTCGGGCCTCTGAACCAGAATATGATTTCATGAAATATTTCTTCGATTGAAATTTGTTTCCTTCTTAATTATTATAAAATGATTAATTTAAAGTTTACGAAAAGGTACTTTCCCCCACTTCATACTATTCAACAAATTAATAAGGATTCATAAGCAATAAATAAGAAGTCTTATAATTAATAAGGATTAAAAAATTAATAAAGATTCTAATAAGGAATAACAAATTAATAGGGATTCTAATAAGGAATAACAAATAAATAAGGATTATTACAAGTAAATAAGGATTATTACAAGTAAATAATGAGTATTGCAAGTAAATAAGGATTATAACAATGAGTAACAAATTAATAAGAACTCTAATAAAGAATAACAAACTAATAAGGATTCTAATAAGAAATAACAAAAAAATAAGGATTCTTAGGATTAATTTAAAGTTCACGAAAAGGAACTTTCCCCACTTCATACTATTTAACAAATTAATAAGGATTCATAAGCAATACATAAGAAGTCTTATAATTAATAAGGATTAAAAATTTAATAAAGATTCTAATAAGGAATAACAAATTAATAAGGATTCTAATAAGGAATAACAAATAAATAAGGATTATAACAAATAAATAAGGATTATAACAACGAGTAACATATTAATAAGGTCTCTAATAAAGAATAACAAACTAATAAGGATTCTAATAAGGAATAACAAATAAATAAGGATTCTTAGGATGAATTTAAAGTTAACGAAAAGGAATTTTCCCCACTTCGTATTATTTAGTAAATTAATACGGATTCTAAGCAGTTCTCAAAATTGTTCTAAATTTCACTGATTACTCTTACTGTATTGTGTTATAATTGCATACAAATAATGATTTTCTTACTAGTCATTTTTTCATAAATTGCATTAAATTGAAATACTTTATTATGTTAGTAAATGTTTAATTCATGAAAAGATTAACTTCTTGAGAGACAACTGTTAAATTATACATTTTTAATACCGTTATAATATATTATGTAATTGCATTAAAAATTAAAATTACATAAATTGCTAAAAGTTGTTTCAATGAACTTCAAATTAAACTTTCAATCTTAATTAATTTCTTTAAAAAATATCTAATTACGTTCGAATGATTATTTATTTAAATACAATATCCTTTTGACGCAGATGAGACTCCAGTGTTCCTCTTACGTATTTTTTTTCTTCCGCTGTTACACTCAAAAATTTATCAATAATCGATTTTATAAATTAAAGAAATTTCAATGATGACTGTTTAGTTTTGATCAAAATAATTGCAATTTTGAAAAATTATTATTTGGAAGTGAGCTGCATTTGGATGTCCCCGGTATTTCATGCTATATTTCATAACCATTTATTAAAATGCCTAACAGAATTATTTTTTAGTTATTTTGACCTAAAATAATACAAAATAACTATAAAAAAGTAGGAAAAATATGCTGAATGAAAATTCTGCGTCGGAAAGCTAAATTCGTGTTCAACGGCCCAAATCGAATTGGATGTTAACTTTATATAGCAGTTAATTAGGTGCTTTTTCCGGTGCATTTTTGAGGTGCTTTTTTTCTTTCTCTGGGATTCGCTGAAGAGTTAATAAATTCTTACCATTGCATTCTTCCCAGGGGGTCATCCTGCCTCCCAAGAAAACTATGACTCTTGCATGTCCCGACATTCCTGCGGTTTTCCAGATCCTCTTTAAATACCTCCACCTAGTGTTGATCGTTTGTTATTTTATTGCAGGGGCTTGAGTGTCATGGAGCAGGGGGGTAAACGCCCCTTCCTCCGACTGGCTAACGGACGCGTGAACAGCAGTGGAACGGAGGAGTCCGGAGCAGAAGTGATGGTACCGCCCTTGTGCCGCCACGATTCCATCAAGATCTCCATCGACAACACCAACACTTGCACTGACTCGGTGGTGACGGCACTTGGTGACCCCGTTAACGATTACATCACTCCCGACATCACCTTCAAGAAGGTAAGATTTTTGGCAGAGAGGGCCAATGCCTTGTCAAAATTCATAACACTTGACAAGATGTTGTGACGTTTACTATCTTTTTTAACACTGGATGGTGACTTTTGTGTCATGGATTTAGAAAGTGATTTCTTTCAACCCTCTCCTTCGCTTGAATCTAAATAATAACTGTATAATGTGTGTGGATAACACATTGTGTGTGTATATAAAAATGTGTGGATTAGCATCTTCAGTTAGTATGTATTTTTCACTGTTTATTTTAAGTTTAACCCCCACGCTGTTTAAAGAAATGTATTGTACCTCATGTATTTTTTGTTCACTTTCTTAACACATATTTTATCGTGATTTTAAGTTTTTTTTAAAAAACTGATTCAAATTAAGGCTAATTTTTCGATAAGAAATTATAAATTCAATATATTTTCGAGTCATAAATTAAAAAAAAAATGCAGATTTTGAAGAGAAAAATATCATACAGTTAAGTATCAGAGTTTCTTTAGCCCAAACTTTATTTTACTTTTCCTACATTAACTTTGGGAGAAATAGTATTAATGAGATCATTAACTACTATTTTTAGATAATATATTTATTTAAATAATCTCTATCCAACATTAATTTGTTTCCTGTGATTCTTTTGTTACATATGTTCATAAATTTATTGATTAATATTTTGAGATAATATTTGTTTCATTGTTTTTTTTCTCAATATTAATACTTCTTTTTTAAACAAATGTGTGATAACTTTGAGTCCTGGAAGTAATTTTTTCAACTCTTTTAAGCGTGTTGAATTTAAATAATGAATTTATAACATGTCATGTATGATGTGGGTAATAATGAGTGGACACATACTTTGATTAGTGCATATATATTTTTCTACTATTTATTTTAAATTCAACTCCACGTTGTATAGAAAAATGTATTTGATGTTTTCATTTCTTTTATGACGTTCTCATAAAAGAAATGAATAATCTCTCTTCTTTTTAAAAAGAGCGCATATTTTATTTTAATTCAATTCAAGATTTTTTAAATTAATTAAAAGTTTTTATGATTTTTAAGTGAATTTATTTCAAGACATACAGCTAAAAATTTACATACTTTTAAGAAAAATGGTACAGTAAATTATAGTGGTTTATTTAACTCAATTTTTTTTCCTTTCCTATGTTAACTTTTAGAGAAACTTATTACGATTAATGCAATATTTATGAATAAAATTACATGGCACTACAATCATGACCGTAAGATAAAGCCTTAAATATGGGGCTAGGTGCTTGGCCATGTTTGAGCCAAAAAATATAAAAAGGAAAAGAAGTCCAGCTCTTCGAATACGTAATTAACGCCTGGAATTGTTTCGGTGTGGTACGCTATACCAGAAAAACAACTTACAGGGTGAGCAACATAAACAGATTCAGAAGAGCATCATATGTACTANAATTTCAATGATGTAAATTTATAAAGATATAAATTTTTTGAATGATTTAACTCACGAAATTTTTAGGATTTTTGAGTTGGACCCACAATCACCCCTGATATAATTTCGAGTCATAAATTTTAAGAAAAATACAGATTTTGAAGAAAAAAATCGTACAGTTAAGAGTCAGTGTTTCTTTAGCTCACACTTTATTTTACTTTTCCTGCATTAACTTTTGAAGAAATAGTATTAATGAGATCATTAACTAATATTTTTGGATAATATTTACTTAAATAGTCTCTATCCAACATTAATTTGTTTCCTGTGATTCATTTGTTACACATGTTTATAAATTTATTGATTAATATTTTGCAAAAATATTTGTTTCCTAGTTTTTTTTTCTCAACATTCATACTTTTTTAAACAATGTGTGATGACTTTGAGTCATGGAAATAATTTTTCTACCTCTTTCACTCGTGTTGAATTTAAATAATGAATTTATAACATGCATGTATGATGTGGGTAACAAAGTGTGGACAAATACTTTGATTAGGGCATGGATATATTTTTTCTACAATTTATTTTAGGTTTAACCCCGCGTTGTATAGAAAAATGTATCTGATGTTTTTATTTCTTTTATGATGTTCTCATTTTCTTTTCAAAAAGAACGCATATTTTATTTTAATTCAATTCAAGAATTTTTAAATTAATTAAAAATTTTTAAGACTTTTAAGTGAATTTATTTCAAGACATAAAGCTAAAAATTTACATATTTTTAAGAAAAATGGTACAGTAAATTATAACGGTTTATTTAACTCAATTTTTTTTCCTTTCCTATGTTAACTTTTAGAGAAACTTATTACGATTAATGCAATATTTATGAATAAAATTACATGGCACTACAATCATGACCGTAAGATAAAGCCTTAAATATGGGGCTAGGTGCTTGGCCATGTTTGTGCCAAAAAATATAAAAAGGAAAAGAAGTTCAGCTCTTCGAATGCGTAATTAACGCCTGGAATTGTTTCGGTGTGGTACGCTATACCAGAGAAACAACTTACAGGGTGAGCAACATAAACAGATTCAGAAGAGCATCATATGTACTAAGATCCAACGCATGCGCAAAAGAAGTGAAATTACAGTCAGGAGAGAAGATACGTCACCTGTGAACCCGTAGTTGGGTAAATCTACTGCCATGGTTGGATATGCTGCTACCCACAAATCGTCATTTTTTTTTTTGAAAATGTGTTAGATGATATAAGAAATATTTTAATTAATAGTACAGTACTGCTTATCAATATTATAAAAATACAGAGCTAACCAACGATAAAAGGAAAAAAAGAAAAATTTTATTCTTCACCCCAAAGTTTCGCCAGTTCCAGTACTGGTTAGGAAGAGATTAGGGTGCAAACCTATTTCTAGAACCTCTGCTGCGTTGTGGCCCCTAAATGTTGTTTTTTCCCTTATACATAGGGATCGCGAATAATCTCGGGGGACTGGTTTACATTATGTCAATGAAAGCTAGACTTCTTCCCCTATGTATATTCTTTGGTTGAGCGATGGTGATGGCATTTTACAGGCATACTCAAAATCGAAAAATGAAGCTTGGATTTGAGTTATATTTTGAAATTTATTTGTTCGAAAACTTTTCAGCACAACAGTAATAGAAAAATATTAAGATTAGTAGAATTTTTATTTTTTTAATCGGTCTTCTAAACATTTCTCTTGCAAGATTTTTTCTGAAATCTCAATTGCTTTTTACCTCTCCTTTAATAAATAGTTATAAATAAAACTAGCCACCCCATCCTAGAGTTCGATTTCATTGTTTAAAAAAAGTTGGTTCGTAAATATTTATCTTTTCCTGCGTATTACAAGGTGTTCATGTGTTTTTTTAGGAGGAGACGGAAGGAGACTCGTTGTATGGGACGCCGAAGGAGGAGCTGGGTCCGGTGATAGGCGAGGCGAAGGCTGCCTCCTTCATGCGAAGTCAACTGGAGGCTCTCTTTCAACCTTCCGACAACAAACTCGCGATGAAACTGTTCGGCAGTAAAAAAGCCCTCATGAAGGAGAGGATACGTCAGAAGGCTGCAGGACACTGGGTTATACATCCATGCAGCAAGTTCAGGTAACAATCTTTCCTCATCTACTTCCTATTAGAAAGTATACAGCTGCTTATTCTACGACGAGATATTTACAAACAGATAATTTTGTTCTCAATAAGTCATATAATTTCTGAGCTCAAATCTGCAGTATTTCATACGATATTAATGATATTAAGTATTTCTGGCGAATTTGCGAAATTTTGTGAAAATTGAAAGTTTGTTTTAGTTATTTAGATATGTATTGTTAAAAAAGGTGACATGGTTGCTAGATTTAGAAAGAACTCGCTTTTTTGGTAGTCCCGATTTGGCCACTTTTTACTTGTTTATTACTGTTTGTTCTTGTTGCAAGCCGTACACCATCATACGTTAGTGTTACCAAATTGTTTGAGCAGCGAGGTTAGATTATTTAACAAATTATCACTTAGGTTTAAATTTCAAAGTTGGCATTTTGCTGACAAAGCAAGAAGTGTCTTAAAATGATTTTTTTTAATCGAATGACGATTCTTGCGTTCGGAAATCACAGGTCCTCAAATGAAGATTCTTATAACGATTTTTTTAAAAACTCAAATAATAAATCCGTTAACAAAAACGCTTATACAAGAAATACTACCCCAGGGAATTTCAAAACACAATGATCACGTTGTGAGCCAAATCACTTCAAAATACACCGGAAGCAGTAAGCTGGAAGTATAGGCAGTCAAGAGCTTGCTGTGCACCCTTATGTAGAAAACAGCGTCCTTAGAATCTTTTGGAGTCGAGATGCATTTCAAATTTTTATACTATTATTTGAGAAAATAATAATAATGTGTTATATATATATATACATAGCATGGAATTATTTTTAGGTAAACGAATTTTATAATTATGAGCAAAAATGTTTTTAATCGCTTGAAAAGTTTTCGAGCTGCACGCAAAAAGAAAAATTTTCATTTCAGGGGTCCAAACTTTTGACTGGTTTCTTGACTCTATTTTCCTATTAAGATTGAGTACGTGAAAGTCCGATCATTTGATCAAAAGTTATTCAGGGTGCCCCGTGATTCTTTTTCATTGTACATCCTCGAGGATGTACATCCACATTTCTGTGCATTGTGCATCCTCGCCTCCTTTTAATCAACACCTTGATATGAGTGGTTATTTATCAACTAAGTATATAAATAAGAAGAAAGATCTCGAAGAAGAACAAAGAAGCGGTCGATTAAATTATCTTGGTGTCAATAAACACCTAGGCAGTTCGCAACGAATAAAAGGAGACGATCAATTATTAAGTAGGCATCTTATTGGTAATTCTGCAGCACATCCGCCTTTTTCAGAAAAAAAATAAGCTTATCACGAACCTCAGCCTATGCTTACCCAAGAACGTCACAACAATTCCACTTCCTCTATTCTTTTTTTTGTTTTTACTTTAACTTATACTCTAGTATAGTAATTTTTGGTTTAAATTTAAATAAAAAGTGCAATGTAGCATAAAATAAATTTTATTTTATCGTTGTTAAAACTTTTATCATCTTAAGCTTCTTTTAGAATTTTTTTTCTTTCACCTAAAATTGATTTCTATTTCAAGCATGAATTTTTTTCAAAGGTAATTCTTTGTTACGTACTTCTTTTTTGTACTTAAAGAAATAAAAATTATAAGGGGGAAAGTAAATTATTAAATAATTCAACTGTGTTACGTAAGCATTGCTCATACTTCTCCTCCCCTCTAGTCAGCGAGAATAAGAAAGTAGCAACACGCTCCCCCGTTATTTAAAGGTGCATAATATTCCCCACCCCCTCGAAAAAAAAAACTCTATCATCTTTCTATTGTCTGATATTGAAAAGTTTTTATTGTTGTAGAAAATTATGTAAAATTGTCCCATACCAATGGCAATAATGTAATTTTAAAGTTAACTATTTCTTTTACAATTCGATGTCTGATTTATTAATTATTCTTGTTTATGTAAATTCTTAAACACAGGTAGTTTGAATTCCAAAATATTTTTTATTTGGAAATTTTTTTAAAATCAAGTTGCGAAGCGAATGCATTAATTTTATTTGCGAGATTTTGAATGATTTAGGTTTGCAAGTTTAAGGAAATGCGTTGAATTCCATTCAGTTAATTTACATTTTTTTTCCTGTTATAACATTCGTGTTTGTGAAAAAATAAATCGATAAACAAACATAAATATTCTTTCAACTAACACTAAATAAACAACAATCTTTAACAATCGCTCTATCCTTGTTAAAAAGCACGAAAATACTTAGTCAATGATTTTTTGTCTTGCAATGCAAATTATTTTTTAACAATGATTGAATGGAAATTGATCATTGACTCTTAATCTACAGATTTTAAGATATATTGAATGGCATTTAAAAAAAATGTATTAAAAGAAAAAAGAAACTAATAAAGAATTTTTGATTTATTTAACTTTCCCTTAATACTTACTAAACGATCCCGAATAATTCAAATTAATTCACAAGCCTAATAAACCTCAGTCCCAAATGAAATTTTCCCCATTTCAAGGCAATTTATCCCAAATCAATTTTCCTTTTTTCTTCCCAAAAAACATTCCAAATCTGTAAAAGAGATGCTTGGAATATTGGGAAGATGGCGATAAAAAAACTACACTTGACCGAACGTTTTGAGCGGAGGCGGCAGAGCATGTATCAACATGATTTGCTCCTTGGGGGGTGGAGGGAGTGGAGTATCATGTGGAAAGACGAGGCGGTCGCCTTTGAAGACCGTTGGCAAGATGCCAAAAAGATCACAATTTTCGTCCGCATCACTAGAGGGACAAAAATAGAGTCGAAAAGAGGATATTATTATGGAGCACATACTGCGTAATAATGCTTTAGAGGGGGGGGGGAGGGAATGGAAGGATTGAGGTTTCGCAATTGCTTATGATTTTTCTTTGCTGTGTTTTTGATGGAGCTCTTCTTCCCTTTTGTGCAAATATTACTAATTGTTGGCACGAAAAGATGGATTTTTTTTCTTCTCCCTTGTAAAGGTGAACGGGACCGTTTAAAAATTGTGTTGGCGTTAGAATTGGCAAACATATTTTTTTCCACACATGTTTAGTGAACAATATTTTTTAAAGCGCATCACTGATTTTCAAGACTCTTTGTTAGTTTAACTCTTAGACGTAGAATTTTTATTAAACATATTTGTATGCTTTTTTTTCTTTATTTAGTATTATTTTTGGTCAAAATATTATATTTTGCATTTTAATAACTTTTGGTTGTGAAAAACAGCTTGAAACACCGATGTCTCTTTATACTTTAAAGGTTATAATCTTCCAAACAAGGCTCACTTTTAAATAATAATATTTTTTAAATGGCACTTATTTGCAGTTATTTAGATCTAAGAAAAGCAGTTATTCATCATTAAAATTTTTTTAATTATAGAATCAATTATTCATTAATTTTTGAATATTGATGAAAAAACATTATTTTTTGAACTATTGTTTTGGATTTTATATTTTAGTCAAAATATAATTTTGATATAATCTAACAGATTTTTTAGTAACTACTAGACTATTTTTTATAGTTAAAAAATACCACAATATATTTTTACGTGCAATTAGAGGGCAAGAAAAAATATATAAATGGGTCACCGGTGTTCTATCTGCGTCAAAGGGTTAAAGAGATTGTACTAACGGATAGATCTTCGTTGCACGCAATGCATCTTGAGATAGATACTTCTCTTTTTATTTAATCTTACACTCATTATTTGTTTTATAATCCTTTAGGTAGATTCTTCGCTTTTTATTTAATCTTACACTCATTAATTGTTCTATAATTATTTAGGTAGATTCTTCTCTTTTTATTTAATCTTACACTCATTATTTGTTTTATTATCCTTTAGGTAGATTCTTCGCTTTTAATTTAATCTTACACTCATTATTTGTTCTATAATCATCTAGGTAGATTCTTCGCTTTTTATTTAATCTTACACTCATTATTTGTTTCATAATCATTTGGGTAGGTACTTCTCTTTTTATTTAAATTTACACTTATTGTTTGTCCTGCATTCCAATAGTGATATTTTTAATATTTGATGTAATTTTTGTTCTTTTATCTAATAATCCAATTTGATTATCTTATATCCTACTCGATTACGATAAAGAGCATCTGTCGTAGAATAATTAAGAAATCTGGTTCTGTGAAAACAACCGATGTGTCAACAGAGCTCACTTCAAATAATGTGGTAGTTTTCAAGGAATCAGATTTTCCAATTAGCCTAAGTCATATATACTAATATCTATCGTGATACTGTAATCGCGTTTGAGATAGTTCTGAGGTGAAGTATTTTTTATTTTTTATGCATGTATATATTACAGAAAATAAAGAAATATTTGTCCACAATAAATTAGTGACATTTAATTCGATACTTTTTTATACATGTAAGTGTGGAAATTTAGCTTGTGATGTTTTGCTTTTTATATAATGAAATGTAATCTATCAGCTAGTTTTTTTTTATTTGAACTGATTGATTTATTGTCCCTTTTGTAAAATTCGAGCCCTTGTTGTTTTGTATTCTCTTGATATGATTTTCCTTAAGTTGAAAACAACATGAATAAAGCACAAATAAAATAAAAAGTAGACTCACTATAGTTTCGATGTTCAGACACTGAGGAAGGTTTCTATTTCGAGAACCAAAATCATAGTCTGCCGATTTCTGTACTTAATTTGCGATTTATTAAAGTTGTTCTTTACTTCAGTCTACCTAACACGAAGTATACTCTATCCATTTGGTTCATTTTTCATTTCGTAATAACCCTTATAATAACTTTACATAGGATTGACACGAAATTAAGCGTGGGAAATTTTCATATTTATCATACTGGATTCTTCCAGTGTATTAAATTATATTCTTAGTTTTATTTTGCAATACATGCACAACATCTTTTGTGATATTGGTATTTTTTATGGTTTTGACACGTTTTTTTCTCCTACTCCTGTTCTCTATTGAATCATTGCCTTTTGATAAAACATATATCTGATATAGTTATCTTGTGTTCGTGATATTTTCTTACTTACTTGATAT